AAAAGACTTTAACATTCTAGCCCCATTCTTGGCAGCGGAAAGGGATTTTAATACGTGAATTCCAAAGAAGTTAAAAAGAAAAAAAAAAGTAAGGAAGGGTAGTTATTTTTCCTTACATAGTCTTCAGCATTTGATTGATCTGTATTTAAAAATGTCTTAATTTTGAGGATAAAAATAAAATGTGAAGGAAAACTGTGGTTCTTTAAAGGCTAATAAGGAAAATACTAGCCTGTCTTTGAAAATGAAAAATTTTTTTCAGATACGAAGTTTTCCACCGCTTCAAACCTGAATAAACCATCATCTGGAACCAAGATGGGGCAAGAAAGTCATAATAACCAATCCTAAATTAGCAAATTTGATTGATGGAGCCCACATTTTTTTCATTTTATTTTTTAAAATTTTTAAAAGATTTTATGTATTTGAGAGAAAACAGAGAGCAAACATATGGGGGAAGGGGCAGAGAGAGAGGGAGAAGGTGACTCCTCACTGAGCGGGAAGCCCATGTGGGGTTTGATGACTTGTGACCTGAGCTGAAGGAAGATGCTTAACTGACTGAGCCACCCAGGCTCCCCTTTAAGATTTTACTTTTAAGGAATCGCCACACCCAGTGTGGAGCTTGAACTTGCAACACTGGGGTCAGGAGTCTTACACTCTACCAACTGAGCCAGCCAGGCGCCCCACGGAGCCCACATTTTACACTCCCAGCCACACTGGCTGGTAACGGAGCTGTGAAAATGCTGAGGGCCAGCAGAGAGCCTGCTCTGTGCCTCCTGTGCTCAGCCATGTTTGGCTTCCTTCAGTCTTTCTTTCCCTCAGATTTCCTGCCCTGCCCCCCCCCACCCCCCGCTCCTCCGTTTATCCAAGAAAGCATCAAAATGAATCGGAGTTCTTTTTTCCTCCATCTTTGAAAGCAGGTGACAAATAGTAAGTGCCTGCTGAATACATGAAGGGGTCCACAAGTCCCTCCTAACAGGAGTAAGCACAGGATATGATACATAGCCTGACTGAATCTTCCCAAAGTATTTTTAAATTCCAGAAAACGGGACTTCGAATTAAACTAGGTACACCGAGATACTCCTTTACTGGCCTTAATGCTAATGAGTCTCCATGGGAAGAGCTGACTATTCCAGCTTTAGCTCAGGGAAGGCTGTATTAATTCACACAATGTAGGTAGTGGGCCTCAGACACACTAGAGGACTTTGTGAGTTTTCTGTCTAGGCGTTCATTCATTCGTCGGCTCCTCAAACGTGTGGAACTTGTCTGAATGGGGAATCAGGGGAGACACTGGGAAATGAAGATATCAACGGTCTTGAAGAGCAAATCTAACAGTGATACATACAGATATGTAGTGTATGTCTGCTTAGCGGGACCCCATCGAATTTTCCAGACAGAGTAAGATATAGAAATAAATGAAATGTGGAACCGTTGTGTAAGCGGGATTGCAGCCGATCCTACATATGGGCTAGTAGTGAGAAGTTTCGGTAAGGACAGAATCCTGCCATGCACATGACCTGTAAGTTCCCTGATGCTGTATGCTCAGTAAATATGATCTCAACATGGCGACTAGAAAATTTTAAACAAGTGGTATGGTTATCCCATTTTGTTTTAGATCTCATATTTGTAATTGGAGACTTTCTTGCAGTTGGACAGATTTCTGATGAAAAAGGCACAATCACTTTTCAGAAACTTGACTTGTTCCCAAATATCCAGATACATACACTACTTACGTAAACAGAAGACAAGATAATCGGAGATTTAAATTTTTCCCTCCTGGATTCCTTGTATTTACTGAGAGAGCCCATATTATGCAGAACACTGTTTTCTTTTCCTGATAGCCATTTCTACAAATAATGGTTTTAAGGCACAGCTGTTAATATTAAGTATGACTGCTGGGTCTGGCTAGACTTTTGGTTGTATTAAAGTATGTATTTTCCTTGTCTTGAGAATACAGTCTTTTCTGAAGAAAAGATGGTCCCTCCTTATAAAGGAAATATGTTCATGATCTTTTAATTGACACAAGTTTAAAAAAAAAAAAGAAAAGAAAACCACAATCCCACAAACAAAACACAACCACCATTAAGATTTTAATTTATAAAGCATGAGCCCTTTCCCAGGCCTTTGCAGAACGCCATTATAATCATCCTGGGTGGGCATTTTTCCCTCTGCCTTCCCCCCACCCCCCCGCCAAAAATCCCACCAAACAAAACTGTGCTCTTGTCCAGTTTTGAGGCCCATATAACATCCCTCCCTATGGCAGCAGCACATAAATGCAGTGCAATTCACCAAACCACTCACGGAGGCATCACTGAATTTGAACTTGCCTCGTCCTGTCCTCTCTCCTCCCTTTAACATCTACTTCAGGGTTGTCTTTAATAAGACTCACTGCCCAAAGGAAGAAGGCTCTTCCAGGCTACCACTTGTTCTGGTCCAGCCTTCCATTTGAAATCCTGCGTCATCCCTCCCCTTCCATCCACCCCCTTCCCCCACACCCTGCCAACACCTTGCCCCCACAGGGCAGTGTTCTATGTCTGAGTCCTGTGACCATTTCCTTTTCTGCTCCATTTCTTCTCTGTTTAGACACTGCCATGCCCCGTCCTACATACTAATTAACTGACTTTTCGCTTCTGCATTGCTTGATTCATTGTGTCACATTTTCCCATGTGAAAGTGGACCAGGAACCTTGGCAAGGAGGTTAATGGATTTAAGAGTCCCTCGTATTTAACTCTGGAAGTCACAGCAAAATAAGAACCCGTGGCTGACCCATTTTATAAACCACACTGTGGTCAGCTTTAGTGGCAGACTGCTAATGGATTTCACCATGGTGGCAAACGTATCTAGAATTTGAGCGGGATTGAAATACACCTCCCTTTCCCTACCTTTACATCTCAAACTTTAGCTGAAACTACCGATTTTGGTATTACACCTTTGATAGGGAACACCCATAAGGGAGTGGAAATAACCCTAGAGTGGGAGTACTTTTGGATTTTAGTCTGATTTTGTTACTGAGTTGCATGAGATTTCAGTATTAGTATATCCACTTACTGGATCTCAGTTCCCGCATCTTGAAAATGAAGTTATTTGACCAAATGATGCTTAGCATCCTATCTGTCTCTAGGACACCGTGATTTTAAATAACTGTTCATTTACTCATAAACCATTTATGTATCTTTATTATAGTCCAGTCAGTGTGCTAGGGACCATAGGTATAAATTTGAAACCTAAAGAAGAAAGACATTTGCATTTTCTTCCTGCAGACTTCTGTGGGGGTAATCTTACTTTTAAACACACTGGACGGGGAACAGATCTCAAAACTGAGAGTGGTTGTTGGTAATTAGTCTCAGGGGGAGATAGGGAGTTCTGCCTGCTTTGTGAGTCTTCAAGGAAATGCTAAGAAGAGGAATGGAGGGTGGGTTACCCTTACTCAGTGTTACCACCAAAATCCTTTAGCCATTCATCAGCATGAGCTAAGTAATAAATATTGTGTATGGCTCCTGATTAATAGGTTACCTCTTTCAATTCCTTCTCAATGGCTACTTTGGGACAGCACATTCTATTATGGTTGACTAGCTAAAGCTTCTTCCCGGTTCATACAGGCTTCCATTTAACTTCCTTTTCCTGATGAACACGAAACATTTTCCTCAAAGCCGTCATTGCAGGTAAATCAGAAATAGAATAAATACGGTAAGCAAGAAACTTCAAATTTTCATTAAAACTCGCTCTGGTTCTTTTTCTGCAAGACCAGAATGGGAAAGAGGAAGGAAAAGAAAGGGCTTTCCATGTGTTCCATTGAGTAGGTATTTTTCATGAGAGTGTGGCAGGCGTCTCGTCAGCCTTTGCAAGTGGATCAGACCAGGAACATTTCCTCCCTTCTCCCACCCGAATTCTTCTCCTTGAAGGCAGCGTGTGTGACAGCTTCTTGGCATGTGGAGACGAATCTACAGCAAGAGACAAGAAGGTTCAGCGTGGCTCTCTGGTCTTTTTATTTATATATTCATTACTGTCTTTAAAACCAACCACTGTGCTGTTTGCAGTCAGTTCTGTTTCAAAACAGCCACTAGCATCATTCCTGTTTCATAAACTCTTTGATGCCGGTGGGAAGGAGTATGCTTAAAAGGGCCCCGGGTGAGTTTGGGCTGCTGAGGGGTAGGATGAGGCCCGGGAGCCTTTGCGTAATCTCTGCCTCGCGTTGGGATCTCCCAATAGCTGTACCTTTGACATCTCTGCGGCCAGGTCACACCAGTTCCCACGAATTACCTAGAAGAAGGTAAACTCTCGACTGCTGTGTTGAACCGGAGAGCCTGCCTCTCTAGACAATTCAGTTAATTTTATTCCACCTTGAGGACAGGCTGCACTTAGGAGCCGTGAGGTATCTTCAAAAGTGGTACATTAACTGTTACTTTACCAGAGTCCCACCGTGGCCCTGGATCCTAGAAGCACATTCATATGCCTGTTTTCAGATGATGAGATAAAACTAGATAAGTTCTGGTATTTTCCTGCCACTTCAAAGAGAAGCCTGCACTCGATTTGATGTGGAGATGCACGACATCTCCGAGTGGCAATCAGTGCTACTGTTCGCACAGGATTGAGAATGACATACAGGCAGCCGTCTTTCATGTGGTTCTTTGAAAAGATCTGTTTTTGCTGGGGTGATTTGCTTTCTGCTTTCTTTGCCACATGGGCCCACCTTACCTCCTAGAGCTGCAGAGAATAATGTAAACTCTGAGTGATGCCAAAATGATAGTTTTAGTTCTTGGTGTGATAATCTGTGTGTGTGTGTCTTTCTTTCTTTCTTTTTTTTTTTTTTTTTTTTTTTAGAGATTTTATTTATTTATTTGAGAGAGAGCATGAGAAGGGAGAAGCAGACTCCCCAAGGAGCTGGGAGCCTGATGTGGGATTCGATCCCAGAACTCCAGGATCATGACCTGAGCTGAAGGCAGTGGTTTAACCAACTGAGCCACCCAGGCTTCCCTTTCTTTCTTTCTTTTTTTTTTTTTTCCTAGGCCCACCATCTGCTCCCCTCAACTTGATCTCGAATGTCAACGAGACGTCGGTGAACTTGGAATGGAGCAGTCCTCAGAACACAGGTGGCCGCCAGGATATCTCCTACAATGTGGTGTGCAAGAAATGCGGAGCTGGCGATTTCAGCAAGTGCCGACCCTGTGGAAGTGGGGTCCACTATACCCCACAGCAGAATGGCCTGAAAACCACCAAAGTTTCCATCACTGACCTCCTGGCTCACACCAATTATACATTTGAAATCTGGGCGGTGAATGGAGTGTCCAAGTATAATCCCAGCCCAGACCAGTCAGTATCTGTCACCGTAACAACCAACCAAGCAGGTAGGAGCAAGATCTCCTTTGTTATATGATACAAATTTTTTCTGGGAGGGGGTGCTTATGTTGGTATCCATGAATGATATTAAAGTTCTACAATTGAAGTAGAATCACACGGATCTAATTATAAACCCGTAAGCTGCTCTGTAATATAAAAGATACTTGGAAGAATGTGCATTTACTCGCAAGTATTTTTTTGGACACCAGCTGCATAGCATGACCTATACTAAGTGGTGGTGATTAGGTGAGATTAGAAGACTGTGTCTGATGGGAAGGGGATGATAGTCTAGTGAGCCGGGTCACTCCATGTTGGACTTCTCTTGTAAGGGATTCATATCAGCTATGTTGATCACAGGTCCATGGTTGGACATCAGAGCATTTAACAGATTATTTTGGATCATAAACTGATTTTTACCAATGCAGAGTGCTAGGTCGGCATCTGCTGCCTTTCCAGCCAAAGCATACGTGGCTATTGTTTGGATCTTGTTTGGTCTTTAAGAAATTAAAAAGTGTATCTGGACCTCTGCTAGACTCCTCATGTAAATCTACGAACAGTGAATAGTTTAATGGGTATTCTGTGCGGTTTGACGATGTTTTCCTGAAAACGCCTACTGGTTTTGCAGCCACTTCCATAGTTGAATCCATAATTGACACGTGGAGGAAGAGAGTTAGTTTTCCCTGTATCCATATCCGGCGTTGCTTTCTCCTTCTAACTCTGTAGACTTGAAAACATCCTCTGTTCACAAAGAGTTTCTGCTGAATTGTAGAACTGTTAGAAAGTCTTGGATATTGGATATTTAAAAGTGCAGATCACAGTGTGCATTTCTAGGCTCCAGCTCCTGACCTCCTCATGCCCGGTCCTCCCCTGAAAACGTTTCCACGCTTTCTCGCACTCACTTTCCATCCTGGATCTCTGCCTCACATTGCTGGCTCCTTGTTATTTATTTCTGCCGGGTTAAGGGGGAGTAGGAGAAAAGAACTGTGGTTTACTCTTTCATGAGGCTGTTAAGAGCAACAAACTTTGCTGGAAAAGGATTATAAATTGCCCGCAGCCCTTTCCCCTCTCACTGCACTTCCCTCTTTTTTTTTTTTTTTTAAAGATTTTATTTATTTATTTGACAGACAGAGATCACAAGTAGGCAGAGAGGCAGGTAGAGAGAGAGAGAGGAGGAATCAGGCTCCCTGCTGAGCAGAGAGCCCGATGTGGGGCTCGATCCCAGGACTCTGGGATCATGACCGGAGCTGAAGGCAGAGGCTTTAACCCATTGAGCCACCCAGGCACCCCTGCACTTCCCTCTTACATGAATGTTTCAGTAAGTGCACTCGATAGTTAAATATATCTATATTAATTGATCCTACAGTGAAAAGGATTCCAGCGTCCCAACCTAAAGTCATTATTTTCCTGCTGTGCCCTGAACTCTCTAGAATAAATACAAAGTTATGACGCGGGCAAGATTTTAAGCTGGAGCTAGAATGGCAGATGTGACTGGAGGGCAGTTTCAGCTATACAAACGCAACCAGTCTTTTAAAATACGCGGCGTGAACAGATCATCTGGTTACGCTTTTGTCTTTCATTTCTGCACTTACAGGTGGTGAGCACTGTTCGTGGTCTTCGGTTTTATTTTTTTACAAAGACTAGTATGATTTAGGAGGTTGTGATAGTATCAACGAGTACTCTGTCTTTGCCAGCTTTTTGTTATTTCTTTTTTGGAAATATTGCCCATAGATCTTGGGAAGACATATTGGTACTACTAGTGTCTCTTGAGTTAGACGAAGCCAAGCTCTGTCCACCCGCTGGGGAATCTGGTTTATGAGTCAATCAATATTCTTATGTTCAGCCTATGTACTTACCCTCAAACACATCACTACTTCGTGTTCTTAACTGATTTAAAAGTAGGAAGGGACCTTTTGAGGCTATACAAGGTGAAGTCATTCTCTTTGGCAGAGAACAGCCTCTGGGAGACGTGCTGAGGACAGGCTTGGCTCCCCCTGATTTGCGGGTAGGAGTATGTCTATGACTCTCTATATAATACACGTAAGAATTCAAGCCATGGGATTATGTTAGCTCCTACCAGGCCAGAAGGCCCAAGGAGCGCAAAGAAGGCAGGCTGAAAAAAAATCCTCCAAAGGAAGAAAATGTGCAAAAAACGTTACTAGAGAGGCAGGAAGAAAGTCCCATGTTTTATTAGAAATGTAGGTGTAATTCTTTGAGCTCTAACAGAAAGGTGGACGGGGAATTCCTCTGACACAGTGAGGTTGTCTCTGCTGTGGCGAGTAGCCCTGCCAGGAGGTTTGTTGAACAGGACAAAATTCCAGCTCCGTATTTTAATTTTCATGAAGGGTAATGCTGGGAAGCTGTTCAAAATTAAAAATAAATCTTTCAATAAGGAGACCTCCTATGTGGTCCGCCAGAAAGCTTTCGCTTCACTGAGAGTTGTACATGTGCGACGCACTGCCTCATTATCCTGCTATAATTTGGAGGTCCCTAATTCACTATCAGCAGAATAGTTTATATTTGATGAACAAACCCTTTCTTCATGGTGGGGCAAATTAATAATGTGGGCCAAAATTCTGGGTGAATGGAGCAACCATAAACTCTATCAAAGCTCCCCTAAGCATATTTACATACACACAATTACATTCGAATTGAACTTGTTCCTATCATTTCATTAAACTAAATTCCTTAGGGACTTTATAGACAATGATGGCTCATTCTGGAAGGAATACATAGAACAAATGATTGTTAGCATTGCTACCTGAAAGCCACAGTTTCACGGCTGTCTGGTTTTGCCCTGTTTTCACAGGGTTCTTTCTTGTAACTTATTTAACAAACAGACACAGACCCTCCTGGGGTACCTGGTTTTATCACCACCACCTCTGAGACTCTCATAGCTGAACAGGTTTGTGAAGGTGACCTGACTCACCCAAGCTAATGTCTGGGCCAGTACCTGAAACCCGGGAGCACCCTCTTCCCTGCTCCCGAAAGGACAAAGTTGCTTTCTTTTACAGTGATTGGATAATTAGTAGCATCTCTGTGTTCAGCCTGGCGTGCTCCCCATTGGTGAAACCAGACTTGGAGTATCTGGGCACGGAAATGGACTTTTGACGAGGCTTTGATCGTTTAGTTGTGGAATGTGGTGTGAATGGGCCGGTGTTCTCACATGGTTATTTAAACCATTCTAATCCAGATCATATTGTTGAGGTCTTAAGAGGTAAATAACATGCTTTTCCTCCCCCTCCCGAGTTCAAACCCAATTGACACTGGAGCCAAGACAAAGGGAACTCAGGATGTCAGCTTTATTGCTGACCATCTGATTGAAGGATGTAAGCTTTATTTCTGTGGCCAAAAGGGCTGGCTCTAATGACATTTGCCGGGGCTCATCCAGAGACTAGCTCAGCTGGCTCCCCACAAGGAGAAAGACTGTGCTATGGGAGTTGTCCACCCTGGACAGGTCTGTAGGTGTGGAGATCAGAGAGGGTGTGGGACTGCTCCCATCCCCACCCCTGGGCACCACCCCGCCCCCCCATGCCAAGAGTTGGAAGGAACAGCAAGCAGCGGAAAGGAGGTGAAGTGGGAAGCTCCACAGAAGTCACCTTTGGAAAAGAAGAGATGAGGAAAAGGCAATTCGTCCCTACCCTGTCACTTTCCTGCGTTACCTTCTAGGAGGTGCAAAGGGAAGTTCCACGAGAAAACATGTTCGCCCTCCCCCATCTAACATCCCCCAGCGACCGTTGTGTTTTCCATTTAGGAGGAGATGGTTCTGGTGTTTGTGAAAAATGAACAAGCAGACTGCTGGGTGATTTGTTTTCTCAATGGCTTTTCTTTGGTTTACTTTTCCTTAAGTGGACCATCTCGGGCAAATGAATACAGGACATGTCACTGGGACAGAGAAAGCTGTATAAATGAAACAAGGTTTTCCTGGCCAAGCAACACAACTGTGAATAGTTTTGCTAAAAATGCTGAGATGGCAGCCAGCAGTAGATCTTACTATCACAAAGCCAGTTTGCACGTTTCCCACCCTGAGTCCCCCACCCCTGTCTTCCAGCTCTGGGGCCGAGTTGTACTTGAGGTTGTTTGGTTTATTTTAAATCATGATGAACTGCCATGGGTCGTATTCCCTCCTAACCCTGAACTGCACCTGGGACGATTACACATGTACGTATGTGTGTGTGTGTGTATGTATGTATGTACACGTGTACGTAAACTCCACACCTAACATGGGGCTCAAACTCACTGCTCCTAGATCAGGAACTGAGCCAGCCAGGCACCCAAATGATCACACTTTCGATTTTTATTTTGCATGAGATCCTATTCTAGATACTTGACAATGAAATGGCATCTGGCGATCTCTCTTTGGCACAGCTGCAGTGTCCTAGTCACAGACATCTGTAACACACTGAGTTTAGAGGAGTTCAGATATTTGGTGGATTACATAATTGTTTGAACCTAGCTGATCTCTAAGATCTTTTCTAATTCTAAAAGTCTGTAATTCCAAGAATATAGCCATGAGCTATGAGCATGAAGAAGTAGGGCTTATTTCCATAGGCTCTTCAGAAATGAGCTCCAACAGCAATTTCAAGGATGGGGAAAAAAATTCCAAATACTCCCACAGAGTTAGCAGAAAGCACCTGAATCCTACCTCCTCTCTACCTCCAAACCCACACCTACCTAAGTATTTTCTTTGAAAGGCGAAACAGTAAGCTAGCTGCATCATGGGGACAGTGAGTTGTTCAACATGCATCCCTGGACATCTGTCAGTGTCAGGAGATATTTTTGGTTATCTCAGCTACGAGGGCCAGGACATCTAGTGGGTGAAAGCCAGGGATGTGGCTAACCATCCTATCATGCACAGGACAGACCTACAGCAGAGTCATCTGGTTTGATGTGGCCACAGTGCCAAGACTGAGCAAGTCTGCTCTAGTAATACGTTTGAAAAACAGATTTCATGACTTCATAGAAATGTCGACTTTTCAAGTGTTCCATCAAGATCCTGCCTTTGCTTGGT